TAAAATGAGAACAACACTCGATTTTGTGGGCTTTTATTTACATGTGAATCTAGCTATTGCCTGTAAGAATAATTAACACAGCATAGCACTAAAGATCAAAAAATCTAAATTCTTCTTAAAAAGAAGTGCCAAAAGTGCTTGTGAGGTTTTCTTACTATTGCAACTCAAAGCCTCTACCCACTCATTTTTTTTTTCAGTCAGTTAATTTTCTAGATGATTTTACCACATATATCTAAAAGTTGATGAATAATAGAGATTTTTAATATTTTGGAAAGGTAAATGAATACTGCTTGAAATTTAAGTTTTGTGTAGAGTAGGAAGTTAAGGGGAAAATACGACTTTAAAATTAACTGACTTTTTAGTCTCATTCTAAGATGTTAGCCCTCAGTACTTCTGTCAGTTAGCATTTGGCCTGGCTATTATACTTTCTTTTCTTTTCTTTTTTTTTTTTTTTTTTTTTTACTATTTAGGTCCCTCAAGACCCATTGAAGTTTTATAAGAAGATTTACTTTTGCCATAGTTGCCAGCTCTATTTGCCTTCTACAGAGTTCTCTGTATCATCCACCTCACACCGCATTTACCGGTGTCGTCACTGCATTAACCTTGACAATGAGACTCGAAAGCGAGAATCATTTTTGAAGTACAAATGTTTACTTCAACGACTCTACTATTCAGAAGCTGATTATGAAGATGATTCTAAAATTGCTTTCCTGATGCAGGTATGATCAGTAGACATGGCCAATCATGGATGAAGCTTGTCCATTGATTTTGCAGAAAAGATTTCTCCTTTCCCACCCAAATCTTTTAAAGTAATGGTTCTTCGTTCTGTGTTTATTCTTTGTGACGCTGGCCCCTCTGGCAATTCTAAGTTTATATATGCAGACCTCCTGATAAAAAGTCATTTCAAGAGCTTTAGCTGGTCTGGTTTAAATTCTGAAAACAGTTTCCAAACAGTTATTTCCCTCTTTATTTTTTTCATTAAAACAACAAAGTTTTTTTAATAACACCAAGTGAATTGCTTATTCTTTATTAAGTCTTAATTTCCTAACTTGTAAAATGGGAAGGAAATGACCTGTGATAACCCCGAGGACAAGATGATAGTTACTAATGAATTTTGAAAGGTACTTAATACCATGTAAATATAAAATCAAATTAGCATACTGGAAGAAGTATACACAGCTGACTCTGGGTTAAAGACGCAGTCATGACTGAGCTTGGTAACATAGTTTGGGCAGAATGAACAGAGATTTGGTGAAAAATAAGGAAGTGTGTGCACTGAAAACCTCATGAATAAGGTATATACTCAGTATGAATTGTTTTCTCAGTAATGCAATAATCTTGAGGAAATTTTTTAACATTTTTATTGATTTATAATCATTTTACAATGTTGTGTCAAATTCCAGTTTACAGCACAATTTTTCAGTTATGCATGAACATATATATATTCATTGTCACATTTTTTTCCCTGTGAGCTACCATAAGATCTTGTATATATTTCCCTGTGCTATACAGTATAATCTTGTTTATCTATTCTACGATTTTGAAATCCCAGTCTATCCCTTCCCATCCCCACCCCTTTGAAGAAATTTTACATTTAGAAGAAAACATTCTTTTTCACAAATGTCTTGACATCCAGCTAGAAGATATTCAGTACTTGACGGAGAACATCTGGGCATCCCAGTCGGCGCTCAGTGCCTGGAACGATCTCAACGATCTGGTCATGGTCAGATGGGATAAGTCCTTGGAATGGTCGCCCTGGAACTGCATTCTTCTTACCAAAGATGAAAGCGCTACTCATCTCAAGCTGCAGAGTATTGAAGAGGTAGGAAACTTTATTTGGGAACCTAATTTGATCATTGGAATTATTAGAGATAACTTGAGTGCCGTGCATAATTTAAATACTTCCATTGGATTAAGAAACAGAGAACCCGTGGATAACTTACATAACAAAATACCAGGGATGGTATGTATGGCAGAGATTAAAATTAAAAGGACACTAAGGCACATAAAAGGTAAAGATAAGATATCTGAAAGTCTTACAAGTACCTAACGTGATACCACGTCCTCCTAATGACAGCAAGTTCAAGCACATTAGTTCCATAGTAAGTTCCACAAGAACAGGGATATTGTAACACCTACAACAGTGTCACAGACTAGTGATTTAATAAGTATTTGCTGAATGAATAAGTGAATATTATCATTAGGTAGGTAATATGGAAACTAGAATCTGGCCATCTTTCATTAATCATCAAAAAAGCACACTAACTTCTCAAATAAATTGTGTTCATAATTTTGTGCCCTAACTGGCAGTCATACTGATGGGGTAGGGTTCTGAGGCTCCGTTTTTCATTTGCTTCCAGCTACCTTGGAGTGGGGAAAGCACTGCAAAAATTAAATACCATTTAATTTCAGTAACTTGCAAGATGCAATCTGTATGACATTTTGATGAACAGAATTGAGGGGCCCTTGATGCGTTCCCAGAGAGCTCCGTTTATACTAAGCAAACCTGTGATCCCTGCAGCTGATGCTGTTCTCTGCCTTCCATTGACTAAATTGCTGTACTTTAATTCCATGCAAGATGTCAGCTAAGGGAAAATAAAGAAATGACTTCAAATATAATAGCCATTTTGAATCATGTTTTTTCCCCTGCCTATGTTCTTATTGGGAAGGGGAAGGTGTAAAGAGGAGAAACTAGCTAAATTTTTAGCTTTTTTGAATAATTTTCTAGTAGAAGCCAGGCTAAGAAAAATTTCACTCTAGGGATTGAAAGAAAGGGCAACAAGAAATTGAAACTATGTTTAATATTATATTTAGTAAACTAAGCTGCCTTATAAATATTTAATCACTGGAAGCACAGCCAATACTAGCAATATCATTTCATTTAGGACCCATAGTGGGATTGAAGTTCATTCCCGAAGCTGATATTCCACTGCTTCTTCAATTAATCCACACAACTCCCTTTGTGTATTTAATCAAATTACTGCAGTATCAAATTAAATGTTCTATTCACATGCATTTCTAATTTCAGGAAGCTGATCTTACTGAATTTTTGTAAACAGAGCTCCATTTACACAAAGCAAGCCTACTATAAATAAAGAAATGACTTCAAATGTAACTGTCATTTCAGACAAACTGAAAAAATTTGCCTTTTTATGGTTTGGGGCTGGTGTGCTCTTTTAAATATTAATATTCAATCTAGTTAAAGAATAGTTTATTCAGCCTAGTTAAAGAATTGTTTATGTCTTGTGGCAAGTTAAAGCATTTCCAGAATTTCCTAAGTACATAGAGATATTTGCTTTCTCAGTAAGTAAAAAAAAAATATGCAAAAGTTAAAATAATCTTGACTCCTTGCAATCACGACACAAATTGTAGGAAAAGCATGGAAAAAGACTTCTGTTCTTTGAACTGTGTGTGAGGCAGATCAATTTCTCATGGTGTGTGTATTGGCCAAAGTAGGACAATAGTGGATTTAAAGTCAGGAGGCCTGACCCAGTATTTTCCCATTTCTGTCACTAACAAACTGCAGGATATTAAAACCTGCCTTCTTTGCTTCATAAATTTTTATAAAGGTTAACTAAAAACATGGAATCAGTAAGAGGATCAGAGCAGCCCTAGCTTTGAATTCTGGCTCTATCTAGGAGCTGGGAGAAGTTGGGCAAGTTTGTTAATGTCTCAATTGCCTGTTTTTCTCATCTATAAAGGGGATAATGGATATTGGACATTTTCCCACATTATATTATTCTTTAAGAATTACTTATTGTTCCTTTTATTTATGTTCCATAATGTGCTATTCCCATCTTTAATGATCACTTTTTGGCTTTATTTTTGCCCTTGGAAATCTGTAAAGTTCTATATATGTATTATCTAACGTTGTATAACAGAAATGTGTTAGTGTTTCTTGAATGAAACGTGGGCTAAGAAGTGGTGGAATAAAGTTAGATTAGTTCAAAGGTTGAGTATTTTGACCTGGTGAATTTGTCTGTAGAGAGGAAACTTTTTTTAATTGAAGTATAGTTAATTTACAGTATTATTTTAGTTTGAGGTGTACAACATAGTGATTCAATATTTGTATTGATTATCCTCCCTTTAAAGTTATTATAAAACAATGGCTATATTTACCTATGCTGTACAATATATCCATGTTGCTTACCTATTTGATACACAGTAGTTTGTGTCTCAATGCCATACTCCTATCTTGCCCTGCCCCCACTTTCTTCCCCCAACTGGTAACCATTAGTTTGTTCTCTATATCTGTGAGTCTGCTTCTGTTTTATTACATACATTTGTTTGTTTTATTTTTTAGATTCCACATATAAGTGAAAAGTATTTGTCTTTCTCTGTCTGACTTATTTCCTAAGCATAATACTTACTCTCTAGGTCCACCCATATTGTTGCTAATGGCAGAATTCCATTCTTTTTTTTCATTGCTGAATAATATACACGTATACACCATAGGGAGGAAACTTAAAGATAAGCCCAGGATACGTCTACATAATGCTTTCTCTAAGAATAAGGAGCCTTCGGCTGCTTTTCTCCAGGGCTTTCTTTACTTGACTTGACATTGTGGAGGGGTATTTAGTCAGGGGATGTCTTAACTTTCAGGAAACAAGTTGTAGAAGTAGGTACCCTTGATATTTGTGATTTGATTGAAAAGGAGAGTCGATTAAGATTAATAAAGAAAATAGATGGTATTTATTAATTCAATCAGAATTTACTTTTGAATGTGCCACACACTGTGCGTAGTGCTTGGGAGAAAACAAGGAAATCTAATGGACACAATTCTTTATTGTTTTAGTTGCATTTGAGCTTAGCTGCAAATAGCAGAGTCAGCAATTTATAATAACTTAATCAAATAGGGGGTCAGTTGTCTTATGAAACAAGAAGCCCAGAGGTTAGCAGCTGGAGGTTTGTATGGTAGCTTCCCAGTGCTCTCAGAAACCCAGGCTCCCTAACTTCTTCCTCAGCCGTATTTAACCTTTGGCTTTAATCCTAATGCTTGTGTACTCGTTTAAAGATAAGATAGCTACTTCATCTCCTGCATAATACCCACCTTCTGGATGTGGCAAAGCCTAAAGTTACTTAACAGATGAGTCTTCCCACTTCTAAAAAACTTTCTTATAAGCTTTATCTAATGGCTTCTATTAAAAATATATACATATATAAATATATTGTGTATATATAAATATCTATCTATCTGCCAGAAACTTGTCACATGGCCTCTTCTAGCTATAATAAAGGCTAAGAAAACTAAGCATGTCACAAAATACTAAATCAGGCCCCTATATAAAATCAGTCCTCTAAATATGAATGGAAGAGAGAATGAATATTGGGTTTGGCAACTAGCAGTGTGCCCCTTTCATTAGAAAACAGATTGTCTTATAATGTGGCAAAGCTGTGTAACAACATTCAAAGTGCTGTTATAGCTGTAGAGAGATAAGAAGCCTAAAAATTAATTAAGAGCAGCTAAAAACAGAAAGGCACAAAGACGTAACAAAGGCAAGAAAGTCATTTTCTGTTTGGAAAACAGAAGAGAGATGTTGCAGGAACTCATATCTAAGACAGTAAAAAGGGTGACCAGAGAGAAGTTTACATTGTCACAGCACCATTGTGATCTCTATTTTGAATGCTGGAAAGATGGAGGAAAGGACTAATTTTAGGAAAAAAATCAAGTTGGTAATTATATCAGTATTGACATAGATTTGAAGAGAACCAAGGTGACAAGAGCATTCACACAGAAATACTGGTTGAATGTTTGCCTTATGGTGCCAAGAGACACATATATGAAGAAGACCTAGGTTGAATCTTTGAGGAATTTTCCTTATTATCCATGGAAGAGACTCGCAAGCAGATAGTGAAATTCAAGGCAGAATGAACTGAATATTGCAATTAAAGTACATGAAAGTGCTTGCAAGCATGGAAGAAGGAGGGATTCATTTGGACTCAAAGAGGTCAGAGAGAATCGAGAGGCTTCCAGGTTAAAGCGTCATAAAAGCTGAACTCTGAAAGATGATGGACAAAGTAAGAAAAAAATGTGTTCTGGTCAGAGAGAACTGACAAGCAGAGGCACTGAGGCATAAAAGTGTTTTTACTTGGAAAATATATCTGTGACATTTAATAGAATTTGATTTTCTTTTCTTTTCAGGGATATGAACCCTTGTTTATTCACAAGATCAAACACAAACATTTCCTGGCTAAGAACTATTTTTCTCAAATTCCACTGCTGGCTGCATTTTTACTTGATGATGGTGAAGTAGATGAGATCAGAAAGAATCATCAGACAGACACCACACCTAAGATTATAGAAATCCAGAGGCCTAGCCCTTAGAAGATCCAGGAGTATTTTTTGATGATCAGCATTTTTGTCCACTGCTAGTAGAATAATACAGAGGTCACACAAGATGGAAATAGAATTTTATCTTTTTGTTGATTTTAATCGTTTTTCATATTGTCATAAGTTGTATGAAGAGAACGTTCCTATATAAACCCTTTACTGTTAGACAGTTAGTGCTAAATTTAAGTACAATTTTGTTTCCAAAATTAGTATTTTAAAGTGAAGAGAACATTTTATTTTACTTATTTTTCACATTAAATTTTTTAAAAATGTCAAGTACATTATAGTTAAAATCAACAGAAAACCAAAAGTTAGGCTTATCTTTCAACTCATATTTATTTTAGATAAAATGTAGTTAAAGGAGAATAATCAGTACAAGGATGAGAGGAAACATTATAGAGTTCTCCTTCATGAAAATCTTTACAGGTAGGATGAAAGATGCTATGTTTTAATATAAATATTTGAATCTTCACATTTTATCTTCATCTTCCATTCTTCTCAAAATTTCAATGGAAAAACTGAAACTATTTATAAACAAACAAAAAGTACATTCCATGCTGGAAGACAGGATAAATATCTTTTGTTCTATGGTAGAAAACCTCCCAGTGGGGCAATAAGGAACTCTGTAAGAAGAATAAACTTGGTCAAGTAAACTTTAACAATTCCTTTCCCTAATAAACCAGAAGAATAGCCTTGACCACTTGCATGGCAGGGACCCACAATGATGAACAGGGTAATGAGTCAGTCTTAACAAAATTGGCAGCACATTCAAAATAGGATGATTCAAGGAGAGTTTATTTACAAAGGGTTTTTTTATAAAGCCTAGGCAGAGTGTAGGGAAACTGAGGAAACAGTGTAGGAACCTGGGGTCAGTATTAGATAAGCTGTCTCTACCCTAATCTCCAGTGAATCTGGGGAGGGAGAGGCCTGGGAACCTGGAAAAAGTGTAAAGAAGATAACGGAGAGGACCAGTGACCAGCTGTCACGGCCCAGATGATCTCATGAGCCTGACAGATAAACACTCTGATCTCATCTTCTCCCTTCCTCCAGTCTCCTGCTTGGATTTCCCACTGGCGGAACCCAAAAGGAAAGCAAAAAAGACAGAAGTCTGTGGACACAATTCATACAGCTTCAGGGCAAAGATCAAAGGAGATAAGAGGGAGTGGATCTGGCTGGCTCAGGAGAAGATATCCAGCTGAGAGAGGATTAAAAGTGAAAATGAAGATCTGTAATTCAAGTAGTAATATTTCAACACACAACATAATTATATATGTGTGTATGTACAGAGAGAGAATTCTCCCAATTCCAGTCAGCAGTTAGCAAGGCTGTTCTCTCAAGCTTAGTGATCAAGGAAACAAGGAATTCAATCTAAATATTAATACTTGTTTTACAAAATATTTTCCAACACTTTAACAACATATTTTCTAGGATGTCCACAGCGGTTTTACTTGGCAAATGAATGGCACGTGGATATTTAAGGAACTAAACATCAAAAAGGGAAGTGCTATTCTCAAGTTTTCATAGACAATTCAGATGTTCTGGGAACTTTCTAAACAGTAAATTACAGATAGGATTAGATTGGGGACCATTCTGATCACTGATAAAAAGGTTAAGATTTAACACAGACAAAAGTGGGTTTACACTGGAAGGACAATGAGCAGAGTTTCACAAGACAGTTCAGGAGAATCCCCTAGCTCGGAGCAGGAAGGGCTGGGGAGGCAGGCAGTGAGAGGGCAATAGTTAGACAGACGCAAATGAAGGACACTGAGAATTCCTCTGTTGACCTCGGGGTGAAGCATCTGACTAGATGGCATTTGCTTACGGTGATAGAAGACTGTGGCGCACAGCTGAGGGGCAGGCCAACCAGAGCAGTTGAATCACATATGAAAAGGGACAGCATCTTAATTTAGGGCTGGGAGAATAACCACAAAGAGGGGGAAAAAAAAAAACCA